ACAAGATATATTAGATGTCAAGAATATATAAAACTATTTATATATCAATAGAACTTACACAATTTCGAAAAGATTAAAGAATTTCATTACTTTTTCAATTTCAGATAATGTACCTCATAGTTTACAAGAACGGGCAGAAATCTTACACTTACTTTTTAAAATGTCCCATTTTGTTATCGATGAACACTGTCTTTAATTGTATAAAAGTAGGACATCTACAGTTTATATTTAACTGCCAAGGTTATGAAATAGTTATCAAGGGATGTAGTATTTTGGATAGTCAATCTTTTGTTAAAAAAATGACATTGCTAAAATGAATGTTTGTATCATTGTATCTTGTAACGATAAAAAGAAAACGATTTTCGTTATTCTGGACCTCAGATCTTTAAAAAGAAGTGTTCTGTATGAAAAAAGAATCAAATTGCTTGAAATACTAGTAATGTTAAAATTAAAAAATCAACTCTTGCTTTGAGTATCTTATTACTATTGTATCTTTGGAGTTATAACATGTATAATGCAATTATACATAACTGATTCTACTATCTGTATTTTTTCTATTCCAATTTGACTTTGTTCAGAGTTTAATTGTATGGTTCCATATTATATAACGGAAAGCTACAAAAGAAAAATCACTTAGAGAATAGATAAATCTCTTGCCAGACTTTGAAGTGCTAAAGATTAAAAGCAGAATGTAATTATATAGGCATGCCTTCTTTAAAACCATGTAAAAACTGAGAGAGAAAATTTCACATTTTCTTATCACATTTGTGACTGATATAAAATTATCAAAGGAAGGAGCTACTTGCGCCTGTTTTAAATGTACAATTACTCCTTAAACATATGGAACTTGCGTATAATTTATTTTAATTATTTAGTTAAACAATTGACAAACTGCATTCAGATCTTATTGAAAAAAGTCATAAACAGATAAACTAAAAAGAACAGAGAGAAATATATACCAATTGCATAGGGACAACAGTAATACAAGTATTTAAAAAAACACTTTTTACTACATGCAATGTGTAGTTCGGTTCGGCTGTTGAGGAAAGTCTATAAGTTGTTTGTATATTTCATCTGTTCCTTTATTATACAATGATTACATTTTAGAAACTCTGTTTCGTTATACGAAGCAAGGAATCAGCACTGTAGTTTAACTTTATATTTCTGATAACTAGCCTAATATATCCATTCTCTATATATTTGATATCCCCGCAATGACAGGTGTAAAGCTGTATGTTGTTGTATAGCACCTGACATTGATTTATGTATGAACATAGAGGGCAAACTTATGAAATTCCAGTTAACCCCCTGTTTTAATACTCGATAACCTCTGTAAAGATCTCTTTATAGAAATTATTTTTAAAGTTGAAACATTAATTCGTCGCTTGTTCTGCAAACCTGTGGTCTGATCTGGCGATATGCAAATAACAACGAAATAATACAAAACGTCAATTTATTATTTAAAGCGACTGATATACCAATTATACATTAATTCTGAATTTATTGATTATTGATGTTTTATCTCCAGATGCAAATATGTCATGTATATTTAGGACTAAAACAGTTTATCAATAAATCAAATGGGTAGGTTTTGCAAAGTGCATGGATCTGGATGTTGGATAGGGGCAGATGCAACAGGCTACCTACGGATCCCTCAAAAGTTGTTGTAATGGGTCTTTTCCATGCATAAATCGTGATACGCTCCTTACAACATATACAACCCCAAATATCCCATAAAGTTAAATGGATGCCCCTTTTTAGTATCAGTTTTACTGCTAGCGGATGGAAGAGTTTATCATTATTTCTATACACCAGTAAACCGTTTGAGTCGCATATTTGGCTGGGTATAAGGGCATTAACAACGTAACTTTAATATTCCATTTAAAAACAGAATTATTGGACCAATTAAATGAAACTCTGCAGTAGAACTCTCACAAAATGTGTATCTGTCTGTGAGGACTTTTTGTTAAGGATATGTATGTGATATAAGTGATATTATCTTTAGGCCATATTAAAATCCATCCAATCACCAGTTGACGCTCTTTTATAACCGTTGACAAGTGGCCTACAAGTATATCTCTACATTTGTCGAGAACAAAATATTGACAAAAGTTGTAGTATACCAAACGCTACAGTCTGAATGTTACTTAATAAACTACCTTAAACCAAAGTCTATCGTGATAACTATAGGTTGTTTTCTATAATTTTCACTTAAATTCACATACTAATATACACCTTTTTTATTTTGTAGATACATGTTTTGTCCCGCAGACAGATTTTGCATTGATAATTTTAACATAAAACAAATCTTGGTAAACATCACTAACTACTAATAAAACACCTGTCTGATCAATGTTTGACAAAATTGGAAATGATATGCTAGTCTAAGAGTTATATTAAATATTTAGTTGCATATATCACCTTTAATCTCTCCACCATTATAGTTCTAATGAAAGGTCTCGTAGTTTAGGTCATTGCATACGGAAAAATATCTAATATTTGTATGAAATTTAAAATATTTAATATACTGTATGGTAAGTACTAACAGTCAAAACACTTGTGAATTTGATGTAGTAAAACAACTGAAGTATACTTGTCATAAAGAAATAATGAACACAATCAATATTTGTCCAACTACACGATTAGAATAACGAGTAATGCAAAATAAGGAAGGCTGTATTCAAATGATAATAAAATATAACTAAGATCATACTTAAGGCCAAGAAGACCCAAATTACATTCTTATTTTAACATAAAGTAAAAATAACTCACCGCGTGTTGTCTGTACCTGTTTCGTTGTCCCGACTGATAAATATGAACTGTAATATAGGCGTTTACAAACATGCCCTTTTCATCTCCTTTTGTACGCTACTTTTAAATTTTACAAAGAAATCACTTTTCATCACTCGGTAATATATTATAAAATGTTCATTTAAAATGAATACCAAACGTACGGTGGTGCTATATCGAGAAGACATTCAGTTGGTTGTCTTTTGTGTGTAAAAATGAATAAATTGAAATTAAATATAAAAAGATCATTTTATTTACGTAGCTTTAATATGAATGGGAATTAAAATCTTAACTTGTATCCATATATATAACTCGAAAGGTAAAACGACTAATTTGAAGGTCTATTCAACAAAATAAATATATTATAAATAATCATCGAGTTGCTCACTCAAATAAATTAAGATTAATTATAATTTCAATAAACGACGACAGAACTTTCTATTTCCTTCTCAAATAGACATAGTGACAATTCATATCTGATTTTAACATTTAAATAAAACATTGTCATCGTGTTATTTTTAATTATTCGTTATATATTTTCTTCTTGAGCTGTTACGAACTGTCCATTAAAGTCTACTTCAAATAACATTAACGGTACCAATCAAAGAATCAGAGCTATGCATGGGGGAATTACTCTTCTAAACAAAGATAAATGATGAAGTAAAAAAAAACCATTTTGATTGCATAAGGAGTCATATATCTGTCTCATGGCAACAAATAACAAACCATAATATTTGACCAAATATATGTAGAAAAATTAAGAGTTCGATCTACAGTGACATAATTTAGCATATCAGACCGCAAGAAGTCGAGCCATGAAAAATACCAAACAACGGATACCTGATGACGAAATTGCTTAATTCCCCTTTGTTTGCATTCAGCAATGTGAATGTTTTCGATATGTTGTTGTTTACTTCAAATATTAGTTTTCCTTTTGCGGGGTTGAGAATCTAAATGTATATAAGATTTTTTCTCCGATCTATAAATAAAACTTATGCAATATGTGTATAGTATACAGTTTCAAGTATCAATCTGATTAACGATGATGTTTTGCTTTTGATTCCACTTGACATCGTGGTGTCCAAGTATGTATATTTCTTTTGACAACGATCTGAATTAAAAGCTTTCAATATGAATCTAATATCTATATCTTTTTTGCTGACTCTCATTTTGTTTGAATTTCTGCATTGAATCTGTTAATTGATTTAACATTAAAGGTATATATTTATATTTCTAACTTGTTGCGTGATAATACAATCATGACGTGTTATAGACGATTACGAATTCAAATTATACACATGTGTATGTAAATCCAAATTGAATCTCGTCTTTGATGAGGGTACATTATATATATGCATCATAATCGATTAATATTTTTTTACTGAAACTTGAATCCTTTTCTGACTGCACATGTCCAAGCTGTCCTTTGGCTTATACAAAGTCCACAAACGAATAATGATTTAACTAATGTCTGGTTGTGTTAACAAAAAAATCAGCTTCGTAGAAAAATAAAACATATAACAGATAATCTAACATATCTTAATGGCAACAGATTTGTTTGATATCAATTGTTAACACGATGAGGACAAAACAAAAACCACCAAGCGCTCACAGACGACATATAAGCCTTGTGCTCACAAATTTGGTGGTAATGAACAAAGGAGACATGATCAATATAAATAAACGTTGATTTGTCAAAACGATACAATGATTCCGCTTGTTGTATTGTATTGTTATTTATGAACCAACCAACGTCTATCAATATTGTCTCCTACTAAAAACTACTGTAGTGAAATCTTTTAAAAGTGACATTTGTTTTTATAAAAATGACTTTTATTGGTTTGTTTTTCAAATAATTTACTCGGACAAGGCTAAATACAAGTAACAGGTGTATATGCATAGAAATTTTAAATCATGATAATATACTTAAACAAATCGTATGAACTTGCACAGTATATGATTCGCAAATTTATCCGTAATATACGAAAAGAGGCATATATGAACTTACTAATTTTAAGGTATGAATATATTGTGGCTGAATTTCTTCAAAGAAACATATTTAATCCAAATTCCATCTAACAATTATTAAATTTAACGAGAATATAAAATGAATCTACTATGAATATAAAATTGGAAATGTTATGATTTATTTTCTTTCGAAATACGTGAAATACTCGAAATTTGATTATAAAGTAAAAAGAAAACACATATTCGAACATCTACACATTTATACTCCAAACATACAATTTACAAATTGTCTCAATCTCGCTACCAATTGACAGTATACAAACGTCTTTTTACAGGCACACTGTTGCATTGTATTGAAGGTTACCATTTCTTGAATTAATTTCTCTTGACAAATTATTGAATATAAATCACTAGTTTCCTCTAATATATAAGCATTTCAGACACACAACGCTTATAAATGTTTTTGTTGATCTTTCATGTACAGTAAATGATAAACATTAAAATGAGCATAAATCTACTTATTTATATATATAAAAAAAACATAAAAGCGATATTTTCAATATTAATTAAATAGTATTATATATGTTTTGTTGACATGTTTAATTACAGCAACACATTATGGAAATAAAGAAGGGAGGTAGAAAACTGCAATAGTTGTAGGTAGGTCTTTGAACTAGTTTAAATTCCAAACAAAAACCTGTACAAAGTGAATAATTGTTTACCATTTCAGCGACCAATATAAGGATTGTTGGTGCTTGAAAGAATCCATCGTTAATGAACAGGCTGATTTTATATCAATCCTTTAAACGATTATTGCTAACAAACTTTCAATTTAGCAATTACGTCTTCCAACTTTAGGATCCTTGCTTACTGTTTTTTTTTTCAAATCACACTACCTTTACATAAAGATAACATGATTCTCTATGAATTCCGTTGAAACCTAAAAATAGGATTTTACAAACGATGGGCAGAAAACGATTCTTCAAGATGACATGCAGTCATATGAGCAGAGCTTATAAAAAGTGAGGATAACTTTCAACAAGACAGACTAGTAATTTCTGTTCGTAGGTTTAGAGGCACTAACCTCAAATGCATAAAGGTTGCACTTCTGTAAATATAGACAATGCAATTTCCCATAGGAACTCCCTTTGCGGCTAAAGCTGTGCCACTTATACTATGAAGTTTCGTGAAAAATTACATCCTAGAACGGAAAGTTGATATGCACTACTTTTTTATTCAAAGGTCAAAACATAGGGCTGTGCGGCATATTTTCAACATTTATATGCCCCGAACTTCTAAGAGTTAAGACTTATACTAAAATTCTGTACTACCCCTACCTTCACTTTGAGTCTTCCTCAGAATTCAATTTTCGCCGTTACCATGTGTTTTTACACTGGTAACATTCCCAAGTTATTTCTCTATGAGATGAAACATAGAGATCATATCTGGGAACCAGTACGTTAACAAAACAAAATATCAATGAATAATATATATCTTCCCAAAAGAGGCGTGGCTTGTGAAACAGAAGTATCTACAAAGTGCAACCTAAAACAGATACAATGATGTCCAATAAAATTGATAATGAAGTCTGTTCGATAATTTAAAGTTAAGATGAAACATGTAACCGTATAAAAAGTGTAGGTGAGCAGGCAAAACAAACTTCCATAGAAATAGCATTAGGACATTTGAAAGTTCGGTGCGATTGCGAAAAAGTTTCAATATACATACTCTCTTCAATAATCTGAAAGGATCACTGCTATATTTCTGTTTAGTCTTAAGTGCCTTAGTTTTGTAACGTGATTTTTTGAACTATGATATGAACGAGAAGTTGTTTTCATATTCGTACATATTTATATTAAACTATTTTGTAAATGAACATTTTGTTTTCATCAGCTACTCCTTGAGGACATTTAGTTTCACAGTTCTGTCCTGGAATCAATGAAAAACCGCTTGGATTAAATGACGCGGATACCCAACACTCTCCCCAGAATTCTATTCCGAAATATTTGTAGCTTGCGTTATGAGCAAGATTTGCGCATGCATCAATAGTTAGTTGTATATTGTCCCAAACTATACTAGTCCTAAGATTTGACAACAATGTTGGTAGAGGATTTGGATTCCCCCCAGCACCGAAGCATCCAACTGGTTGATAGTCGAAAGTAGCCAGGGTAACTGAAAAAAGTAATAAATGCAAGTGTAGTAAAGGCAACATAATAACCTTATCAACACATGCTTTTAGTGCTCTAGTAGTTCGTTTACATTTTTTTTTATTTTAGTTGGAATTGTGACGTGTCATGGATTAATGAACTTGTTAAAATAGCAGTTATCTTACTGATTTTTAATCTGACGTGTGCTTGTGTATTATAGTTTGGTTCAAACAATCGGGTTTTCAATTTGACAGATATGACCAAATACATATACAAAATTAGTTATTCAAGTTGAAATGAACGATAAAAAAAGTATGTAGAACAAGATTAAATTCTACGACACGCCACAGTCGCTTGTCAGTACAATACATGATGTATGTCTCATATTTGGTGACATGAATGCCAGGATAGGCGTAGATAACTCTAGGAATGAAAGATTTATGGGCAACCACGGTTGTGTATAATGTAGAACGACAAAAAATAATTTAGAAAGATATCAAAGGGATAGTCAAATTCATAAGTTGAAACCAAACTGACAATACCATGGCAAAAACAAAAACGAAAAACAATCAAAACACAAACAATAGTACACAAAACACAACATAGAAAACTAATTTAAAGAGTGAGCAACACAAACCCACACCAAAAACCGGGGGTGATCTCGGGTGCTCAGGAAAGTAGACCCTGCTCTACATGTGACACTCGTCGTGTGTTGCTCATGTCAGTACAAACTCGGTGATAAGTCTAATTCGGTTGGTCACATTCGAGAAAAAGAGCATGGAATTGTGTTTAAGACAATTGGAACACATCCGTCGATATCTGTGAAACAGATATTCCATAACAGTCAATCAACTATTGCTGGCGTCCGTAAATTTTTCGAAGGGATGACTTCAACTTCAACGCTTGGAACTCTTGTTTTGATAGCTTCCGTGTATGGAGAAACCCTCTATCAAGGATATGCAAGCTCTGGAATATCGTATCAACTGGAATATATATACACGATATGCAGGCGGTGCTGGAATGTTGCAGTATACATGTATATAGATATGGAAAGTTAAAAATTGGGAAGCTGAAATCATCTCCTTTGTCGTCAAGTTTTGTTATCAATAACCCTCATTGTCGATTTCTAGATGTATGTCAAGTAAATACATATTTTGTCTTTCAGACACAAAAAGTAAAATAACAAAAATACCGAACTCCAAGGAAAATTCAAATCGGAAAGTCCCTTATCAAATGGCAAAATCAAAAATTCAAACAATCAAACGAATGGAAAACAACTGTCATATTCCAAATTAGTTCATGTTGGTTTATGATATCTTTCAATGCAATAAAAAAGGACTATTTGCAATATTGTGAAATGGTTTTTTAATATGAGAAAAATTATTGTATACTCTTTAATGTATTACGGTGACTATTTTAAAATATTTATTTTGACTCTGTGAGTGGAATAGGTCAGGGGCAATTGGCCCAACCTCTTTGTATTTTGTTTAACTTGTGGTTCACCTAATCTACATAAATAATCACCAAATCAATAAAGCATGTTAAGATTCACAGTACAATAATTGGAAATAGAAAAAAAAGATAGCCCTTTACCGTGGTTCTCAATTTGGTACAGATTCAGGTAGTTTGTTTATTGGTTTTTACTTATAAAGAGGCAAAGATAGGACTTTACGATAAAAAAAAATCATCACCATACACATCCTACAAACTTGGTGATATGTCATCCTTTTTGGTGCTATATGGCTTTTAATTCTCGTTTGATTTTTAATACTTTTGTATTTTTTTCTATACATGTTTAGACCACGACTGATTTAAATGACGTTTTTGAAATTTAGATATAGTGCAGTTTATTATAATTGTGTATCATGTTATATTGTATTAATTTGTTCATGTCTTCAAATTTGACAGCAGATAGTTTCCTTTCACAGCTTGAAGATGTGAATACAGCTTCTTAGATTGTTATTTAAGTGATTTTTGTTAAAATGATTGGATGTATTCTATTAACTTTAACAGGTACCTTACATTTTGATTGCATGCAGTTGGTACATCCATCATTTGGTACACACACTGAGGAAACAACACATTGATAAGGATCGCTAAGTCCGTACGGATTTGGTTCACACATAAGATCATCTGCACATGTATGTCCAGAACAACGACCCAATAGACTCTAAAATACATAGACAATACTTGATGGATTTCGCTGTTAAACATTAAGCAATAGCTAGTAACTACACAAAATTAGATAATGAACAGAACAGTTATATTGAAATGAAACTACCAATAATAAATGTAACCTATTACATCAAGTTAAACCCTTTATCATTGCATTTGGTTTTGTCAAGTGCATGTAGGCAGTAATAGTCATATCCTTTCTATTTTGTACTACTGTAGATAGATGTGACTTCATGTCAGTTTCCAAGTTTTCAGACAGAAATCTACTTTTACCTCGCAATATCTTTAAACAAGTCAACTGTATGATAAAATGAAAACAGCAATTGCATGAGCATGCTGTCTCTAAATTCCAATGTGGTGCAATACTGCCTAAAAAAAATGTTACCTTGCAAATGAGATTTTGCTGCAAACCTGCCGCAATAATTTACATTGCAAATGAATGTTGACTACAGACCTGCCGCAAAGAATTCACCTTGCAAATGACGGTTGTCCGGCAAAGTTGACCTTAGATGTATTTCGCTTTTTTGTCAGGTCCTTATTGATCATACAACTTTTACACTGTTTGGTTCTTATACATCCTTGGCTTTGAAATATTCGGATTTCAGTGTCCCTGATGAAGGTAAATTCAGTAAAGCGTTTCGAACGCATGAAATTTGTAACGTGTTGTTTTCATTTTTTACTACGGACGTGTAGCAAATAAATGTTTGTTACAGACCTGCCACAAACAATTTACCTTGCAAATGACTTTTGTTACAGACCTGCCATAGACAATGTACACTGCAAATGACTGTTTGTTACAGACCTTCCACAAACAATTCACCTTGCAATTGACTGTTTGTTATAGACCTACCACAAACAATGTACCTTGCAAATGACTGTTTGTTACAGAACTGCCACAAACATTTCAACTTGCAAATGACTGTTTGTTACAGACTTACAACCAACAATGTACCTTGCAAATGACTGTTTGTTACAAACCTGGCACAAACAATGTACCTTGCAAATGACTGTTTGTTACAGACCTGCCACAAGAATTTACCTTGCAAGTTAGCGCAATATTTAGAGAAAAAGTTTGAAAATATTTCCCCGTAGTTTACCCATAAATAGACTGAATGGTTTTACAGTCAACATTAAGGTAGAATATAAGGTAAAAGTCTCTCAGTAATCAATAACTTTGTCAAACCTACATTGAGTTTAAAGTAAATTGGATAACAATTCAATTACTGATTAGCATATTCAAAACTCTTTATAAATTAACTGAAAATTAACAACAGTCAATCTGTAAGTTTCAGCAATTCAATTTTACTGTTCTCTAGTTTTGTCGGCAGACATAACTGACAGACATTTTCACAACTTCATAAATTATCTTCATCGTTTATCGTCAATTAAAGAACAACGACATAAACTACCTTTATCTTACCTCGTCAATTAAAGAACAACGACATAAACTACCTTTATCTTACCTCGTCAATTAAAGAAGAACGACATGAACTACCTTTATCTTACCTCGTCAATTAAAGAACAACGACATAAACTACCTTTATCTTACCTCGTCAATTCAATAATGTCGTAAATTACTTTACCGTAATTTATGAATTAAATAAAGTCAGCAATTATCTTTATCCTACCTCGTCAAGGTCATCAATGGTATAATACTGCGTGTAATCTGGTGCCGATGTCAGTGAAGCTAATTGTGTTTTGTGGTCCTCACTGTTTAGTTGACAATGAGACGTATCTGTGTTGTAGTTGACAGATTTACATTTTCTTTGTTTGAGACATCTTATTAAACAAAAAGCATTGTCAGCTTGAATATTGGTTTCATATACATAGTTTTCCAAAATTTGTTCTCTTAACGACAGTGGTAATAAGGGTAAATTTACAATTTCACATTTTTCTTCAAATTCAGCGGCATCTCTTGTACCCAAAATGAGAACAAAACATAGCAATACATGTACATTCATTTTAAACATGAACTGTTTATAATCCTTTTCGGTAACTTTTAAAAGTTTGGAATTCTAAGATATCTGTTTGGTCCAACAGAAATTATCTCCACAATAAGCCGTATCATTCTTTCAAGAATGATTGTTGTATCATGTCAAAACGTATAAGCAATATTTCCCAAAAAAATCTTTGCATTGTAAATAATAAGGTCCTAACTTGTGATTGTATAAGCGTAACGTTATAGTCTATGGACTATCTTAATATAGTTTTATTTTAATCATTGCATTATTTACATAATGCATTAAGGGAAGAAATTAATCAATTTTATCATTGTCATATAGTACAACCTTTGGCAGAAAATTCCCATTAGTATTTAGGAAAATCAAACATAACGCTCTCAGCAACTTATCTTTATGTTTGTATTGTTGAACTATATAGTAAATATACAAAAGTATATTGAATTTTGAATCACTAGTTGCAGCATCCCTAAGTGATAAATCACAAAAGCGTTTTCTAGTATCGAATTTTTTAACACAAAATCAAATTGCATAGCAGTGCAATCAAGTTAACCTTCATAGTTTATAAACTGATCCAGTGTGTCGATTTAAGTCACTTAGCTGATGTTACCCTTGTGTAATGGCAGTCGATTAGTAACTGTCCTGAAACACTGTTAGTAATATATCATAAAAAGATGATGCATAAATCCTTTGTCAAGCTCTAATTCATCGTAAATCTAGACACGTTGTCAATAAATTCAACAAATATGACGTAAAAGATATGTGTTAGATAAATGTACGTAAATGAGACAGCAACCCAAAAACAAGACTGATGTATCTGCATTTTTCAAAGCTCTAAATCGTCCTGAGTTATTTAACACCTTGCTTATCTAACTAAGATATTTTTAATATAATGCAGATTTTAAAAGATTGGGATATCATTTAAAACAAAACAACATATTTTTGAGTTGTATGGCAAGCATCCCTCAATCAGCATACTATATAGATTTAAGAAGATGTAGTATGAGTGCCAATGAGACAACTCTCTTTCCAAGTCACAATAGTATATCAAATCCTTATTTCTTGACTATAAATTATTTGTTGTCTCTTTATGGACAAGTCCACCAGTTAGAATGGGTTTTTTCCGTTCATACGACAATCATAACTATTAACTTGAATACATTATTTCACCTCCATCACCTTTTCCTTCAAATAAAGTCGTCGTACAGAAGCGAAATATACTGCCGGACACAAAAAAAGAATTTTTACTGTAAAAAGCCATTGTGATCTGCACTTCTTCTGAAGGTCTGGACAAATTTATTTTGTTTAGTTTTGGGGATTTCAAAAATTGTAAAGTTTAAACAATCACGTCTGTCTTCGATTTTGGTTTCAAGTTGTTCATCAGTGTCAATATTGAGGAAACGAACAATATTTACAGCAGACCCTCTAATTGCGGTTTATTCCCTTACTAAAGTTCACTGGAATATACGAGAAGCAAGGATTCACTGCAATGATGGTTTTTGAGTGACATCATCAATATATCAAAAAGTGAAATCAATGAACCTAGCCAGACGCGTTTTCTTTTTCTCTTTTAGAAGATTCAGTGTGAATTCTGCCTCATATGAGTAAAAAACAAGTCAGCTAGTAGGTATGCACGATTAGTAAACATTGGACTACCGACGTTCTATTAAATATATTTAAAGTGACAATATGGTATGGGTTTTGCTCATTATTGAAGGTTGTACAGTGACCTATGATTGCTTAAATCCCCGTGTTAGTTGTTTTATTACCAATCATGGCACATCTACTAATTTACACGTCTCGAAGTTCACTGACACACTAAACATGGTTTACTATGTTATTTTCAGTCATTAACGGGTGCCACATGTGGATCATGATCGTCTTACCCTTACATCTGAGATCACCCCAGATTTTGATGGGCTTCGTATAGCTCAGTTTTTAGTTTTATATAATTTATTGTGTAGACTATTGCTTGTCTTTTTGTTATTTTCGGTTTTTCCATGGCATCGACTTGTGAGTTTACCCTTTGGTTTCTCTTATAGAGCTTCGCTGATCAAAACCAACTCTTTTATTGAAAAAAAAAGATTTACACATTAACAAAAATATCTACTTTTTAGCAAATTGTATAGGATTTTTTTATCGTGTCAGCACTTCTGTGTTGACTTGAGTTATCATTGATATGTTCATAATAATAAATTAACTGTTAACAAAACTTTGAATTTTTGAAATACTAAGGCTTTTCTACATCAGGAATGGATTACCTTAACTGTATTTGGCAAAACTTTTAGGAATTTTTGGTCCTCAATGCTCTTCAACTTCGTACTTTATTTGGCCTTTTAAACAGTTTTTGATTCGAGCGTCACTGATGAGTCTTTTGTAGACGAAACGCGCGTCTTGCGTAAGTGTAAAATTTTAGTCCTGGTATCTATGATGAGTTTATTGTATGTTAATTTTGTGATACATATTTTAAGTTGAAAGCATACATTGTTTGTAAACAAAATTAATTAAAGAAATACGTTGTTTGTTTATATTCAATTTGTATTCAAATTGAAATAATGATAAATGTTATTTATTTTCACTAACTGACTGAAAACTATTTTAGGTAATTCGATTAAATTTATTGTTTTTAAATGAATCAATTTGAAGGCGAAAAAAGTTTTACGCATTATATTTAATCTTTATACGTAAATACTATGATTCAAAATTTATCAAAAAACTTGTATCTTCCTAAATTAATGCATAGCTCTGATTCTTTGTCCGGTTTTGGCTCAACTGTTGGTAGTTTGAGTTTTATCAGCTCTTCAACGTTGGTATTAGGTTTTGGACTTTCAGATATTTTAGCCTCGAGTATCACTGAAGAGACATTAATTGTCGAAATAAGCCTCTAGTGCAGAACAATTGGTACCGTTAGTGTTAATACAGGATCCATATTGTTACTATACAAAAACTTTAATCACTAAATAACTCCAAATGATCTACCTTTATGTAAGTACTACTATTGTCAATGAAATTTGATCAGATTTATTTTTTGTTTTGTTTTGTCTTACAGTCATCATATCATATTAAGTCTAGTATGCGAAAACCTCTTTTACAAACCACCAAAATTTAACTGCCTCATGCCACCAACATACCGTTTCAAGCAATGTTGCAATTTCAGGCTATCGTATCAGCTGTCCATCACAGTTTGTTATCCAAAACTTTTAGAGCTTACTATATGGTATGTTTTTTCTGAAGGTCTTATTTTGACATGTAGTTGCATGTTTACATTTTTTTTACATTGGTATTAGATAGTTGTCTCGCTGACAATCATACCACATATCCTTATTTTTATATCGAAGAGTAATACTAGGCCCCACTCATTATTTACTCAAAATTTCGTTTTTCAGTATATGTATTCTTTTGTATAATTCATAGCACTTTTTGTTCTTCATTTAAAGACAAACAGAAAATTTGTTGATTTAATCTGTTCCTGTCGGGTAAAAAAATGTCTTCACAAATTTTCGATCAAACTAAATTCAGAAGAATAAGTACACTCCACCCAAAAAGATTAAAAAAAATTAAAGCAACTAAAATGGATGTATTATACTTTAAATTAAGCAAATAATCGATTAATATTTTCCTTATCTTAAAGAGCAAACATATAGCATGGAGATCAAGGGAGGCAATCACAATTTAGAATAGAAATTATTGATACATGTGTTCCTTTTCCTAAACAGTACGTGTCGAAACTTTTTTATTTTGGTTTTTGAAATAAAGGTAACACTTATTTGCTGTTATATCTATTCAAGGTGTTTTTTTTCTGATTTCCTTAAACACTTATACTAATGATATCTTAAAAAGAAAAATATATATATATATAAGTCTGAAAATTAGATTTTTATGCTGATAAATTATTGTCCCTCAACGGGATTTGAACTCACACCTTTGATACACTACAGCACCAATCGCTTAGCCTCGTGTCCAGCGCTCTAGACCACTCGACCACATCCGCTATATTAAAATATATAATATTATATATATATATATACCAAGAAATTTGTTTTGCATGCACATGTATAAAAATTGCGATTTTTATCCATCGCAATCATAGGTTTGAACGTTATATATAAATAAGTCTAAATTGAAAACAACGTTCAAACCTATGATTGCGTTGGATAAAAACCGCAATTTTTATACGTGTGCATGCAAAACAAATTTCTTGTTAGAGGGGTCTAAATACAGCACAAACAACATTTTTCAAAAGACTAAAAAAAGTGAAAAAGTATATTTTAACAAAACGCATTTGACTAACAGGTCGAACAACAAATGTTCTTAAACCCTGCTGACTGCCATTGGCGATTGCCAAATAAACGGATCACCGATGTAATAAAGGGATCTTAATTTTAAATTTAATACTAAACAGAAAACAATAAACCTGCGGAGAAGATGATATACCGCAAACAAAAGGTGCAAAGGTTTTTGTACACCATACCCGGATTTCGACAAATAATGTCTCTTCAGTGATGTTAGGAATCGAAACGGTATTTGGAAAGCCCAACAATTTACCTCAATTTTGGATAGACTCTTGAATTTTGAGGACTCAAAATAGGATGAACGGATCATATAAACCATAAGGCAAATATAATACAAGCCCAAACGAAAAAATATAAACAAGTCTAAATTGAAAACAACGTTCAAACCTATGATTGCGTTGGATAAAAACCGCAATTTTTATACGTGTGCATGCAAAACAAATTTCTTGTTAGAGGGGTCTAAAAACAGCACAAACAACATTTTCCAAAAGACCAAAAAAGTGAAAAAGTATAATTTAACAAAACGCATTTGACTAACAGGTCGAACAACACATGCTCTTAAACCCTGCTGACTGCCATTAGCGATTGCCAAATAAACGGATCACTGATGTAATAAATGGATCTTAATTTTAAATTTAATACTAAACAGAAAACAATAAACATGCGGAGAAGATTATATAGCGCAAACAAAAGGTGCAAAGGTTTTTGTACACCATATCCGGATTTCGACAAATAATGTCTCTACAGTGATGTTTGGAATCAAAACAGTTTTTGGAAAGCCCAACAATTTACCTCAATTTAGGATAGACTCTTGAATTTTGAGGACTCAAAATAGGATGAACGGATCATATAAACCATAAGGCAAATATAATACAAGCCCAAACGAAAAAATATAAACAAGTCTAAATTGAAAACA